ACACTAATTCCAAAGAATACATGCACCCTTATGTTTATCGCAGCATTATTTCCCACGGCCAAATTATGGAAGCGGGTCCATCAGTAGATGAATGAATAAAGAAGAGGTGGCATATATACATACAGAATGGAATATTTTTTTTAAATTTTTTTTAATGTTTTATTTATTTCTAGGAGAGAGAGAGAGAGACAGCGTGAGCAGGGGAGGGTCGGAGAGAGACGGAGTCACAGACTGAAACAGGCTCTGAGCTGGCAGTCAGCACAGAGCCCGACGCAGGGCTCGAACCCACGAGCCGCGAGATCATGACCGAAGCGAAAGTCGGACGCTTAACCGACTAAGCCACCCAGGCGCCCTTACAGAATGGAATATTATTCAGCCTTAAAAAGAATGAAATCTTGCCATTTGCAATGATATATGGATGGAGCCAAAGAGTATAATGAAGTAAGTCAGTCAGGGAGAGACAACTACCATGCTTTCACTCAGATGTGGAATTTAAGAAACAAAACAAGTGAGCAAAGGAAACAGAGAGAGAGAGAGAAACAAAGCGAGAAACAGACTCTTAACTATGGAGAGCAAACTGATGGTTACCAGAGGGGAGGTGGGTGGGGGGATGGGTGAATGCGAACTAAAGAGTGCACCTATCATGATGGAAAAAATAATGATATTAAAACAAGATATTACAAATTATAAAATAAGTATGCGCTCCTGTTACTAAAAAATAAAATAAAATGTTACTCGTTTAAAGTCAAAAAGAAGGCTTCTGGATTCATATTGTCAAACTGCTTCGCCCCAAAACTGTAATGAGTTAGGCCCCTATCAGCAGCCCAGCAGCTCACGTGTCTCAGCACGTAGGAGGGTTCCTCCTAACTTTACTCCAGTGCATTCACGATAGTTCGGTGAGCTTAATCCCCAGACGTTAATGGACTTTCATTTATGCTTCTGTCCAAAACCGAAAGACCCTGATGCTTAGGAATTAGGGAAAGAGCATCATTTCACTTGCCGCTTAAGAACTAGAGTAACCGAAGTCCCCAAGAACGCAAAAATATGGACATTTGGAAACATTTTCAGCTATTTTAAAACTCTGCCTCCCTGTTTTCCAAAATGACTATTCATTTACTTGAACAAAACATTTTAAAATGCAGTTGTCATCTATTCTATGCCTCCAAGAGCTGGGCAGTTTGTTTTATAATAAATGGTGGCCTTAGCCCGTACCATGTGATTGAAGGGCATTCAGCACACGTTGGAGCCTCTAATCACAGCCTGTAATCTCGTTTTCACATTTCTCTCGGGTATATCCTACTTGACCCTGCTTATTGAAGCACTTTTATTGTGCTGGTTCAAAGGACAAGGGATTGAGCAGAGACAAAAGCGAGGTCTGAGAATTGTTTTTATGCCATGTGCCCAGTCCAGCTCTACCGCTAGATGAATAGAAACCATCTGGAATCCAGCCAAAGCCACTTGATGGAAAACTCTGACTTCCAAAAAGTGTTCCTGGTGCTTTTTAAAAGCATCACAATTTTCCCAGGTTGAAAGAGAGAGGTCTGTCTGCTCACAATGAGAGCACAGCGGGCTAGGTAGGCAGCCACATAACCCAGCGGCCGCCACACTTTCTGTATAGAGCGACACAGTAAACATTTTAGATTCTGCCAGCCAGACGGTCTCTGATGCAGCCACTCAATTCTGCCACTGTTGCGAGAACCCCAGAGAGACTATGTCACCCAACGGGTGCGGCTGTGACCCAATGAAACTTTACCCAAAAGGTCTGTGGCGGGATTTGGCCTCCGGGCAGTAGTTTACAACCTACTAGTGATCTCTGAAGTCTTCTCCAACTCTGAAATTCTTCGAATCTGTCGCTGGGCTTGGACTCCGGGGGCGTGTGGCATTTCGGATTTAGGGCGCCCAATGCTGGCTGGTGTCTGGGGTGAGGGTGGAGAAAAGGGAAGTTCCGCTAATCTCCAGATGCAAACAGATTCAGTACATTGGCCTCAAAAAACACCCGTTGGAAGAAGCTCAACACAGGGTTTTCTCCCTGTCTCTTTCGGCTCCGAGGTTAACGTTTGAATTTTTTTTTAACTCAGTTCCTGTTAAATGTCTTCAATCACGGATGCATCTTCCGGTTCTGCAGGTGTATGGAGTCTGTTCCTACACTGTGTTGTGCTGACAAGTGGCCAGTGGAAGCTTCCAGCTCTTCAGAGGACACAACTGCTCGCAGAGCTGGGAACCAGCGGGCTGAAGTCCGGCCCCATCACTCGGACTCTTCTAGAGTCAGGATGAATCCCCTTCTGATAAGTGAAGGGCCTGCTTCCAGGGCAGCCCCAGAAGGGAAAGAGCTCTAGTTTCTCCCCTTCCTTTCCACCAGCCAAGTTCTCGGAAGGGGGCAACTTTACTTTCTCAAGTTCCCAGTCTGTATTTTTCTTTTAATTTTTTTAAAATGTTTTATTTATTTCTAGGGGAGAGAGAGAGAGAGACAGCGTGAGCAGGGGAGGGTCAGAGAGAGAGGGAGACACAGACTTGGAAACAGGCCCCAGGCTCCGAGCTGGCAGTCAGCACAGAGCCCGACGCGGGGCTCGAACCCACGAGCCGCGAGATCATGACCTGAGCGAAAGTCGGACGCGTAACCGACTGAGCCCCCCAGGCGCCCCTCCCAGTCTGTGTTTTTAAGTCAACATCTGTGTTTGCCCCACTGCCTCTGACATCCTAGACGCCCCCATCTTTTTTAACCGGCACCCCTGCCCTACAGCAACGTGTTTACCGACCGCCAGGCTCCTGGTTGTGCCCTATGGTCACTTCTTTCTATTCTCCTTAGATGTGGCCATTCCCAAAATTCCTGTCCTTTGTCCTTTTCCCTGTGAAGTTCCCCTCCTGAGGTCTCATTCGTTTCTCTGTGATCAACCCCAATCCCTTCCTGCCTTTCCCTTGAGCTTCAACATTTCGTCTAGGTTCCAAACTCAACACATCCAAAGCTGGATTTAGGAAGTGCTTCAAACTCAGTACCCTCCTAAGTGTCCTCGTTCAGCCTGTGGCATCCTTCACCATCCCGAGCTCAAAGCCTCAGAATAATCGTTTATTTCTCCCTCTTCTTCAATCCAAATTGTATCCATTCTTCTGTCCCGGCTCCTCCGCCTGGCAACCCTCCCTTTGTATGTCCGCCACTCATTCCCTGGCCATTTAACCGTATTCTCTGCCTGAACACCGGCCCTCGTGCAGCCCCTCTTGAGCAAACCCACCCGGATTAACATTTTAAAGCTCCATTTTGAAGTCCGTCGCCTATTTACAAACAATCTGTGGCTTCCCACTTCAATAAATCTTCAAGGGCCTCCATAACCCAGCTCCACGCTCTTGTTGGCTTTTTCAGGACCGTGAACTCTGCGCTTCAACAAACGTGGGCCACTCGTTCTTCTTCTAACATGCCCAGGCATCCTTTCTTCAGACTGCTTTTATTTGTCCCTGGTAATGAAACGTCTTCTGTCTAGGGGCGCCTGGGTGGCTCCGTTGGTTAGGTGTCCAACTCTCAGGTCGTGACCTCGCAGTTCATGAGATCAAGCCCCACTTGGGTTCTATGCTGACAGCCTGGAGCCTGCTTCAGATTCTCTCTCTCCCTCTCTCTCGGCCCGTCCCCAACTTGCTCTCTCTCTCAAAAGAAATAAACATTTTAAAAACATAGCTTCTGTCTTTCCTGATCCCCTCTTCAACCACAGTTTAAAATCCAGTCCCTCAATGATATCTCCCCCAACTGCTGCACGCAAACACATTTCTCTATCCCCTACACACCATGGCACTTAACTTGTATCCCTCCCACCTCATGTATCTTACGTGGCACGTGAAATGATGCTCTTTCCCTAATTCCTAAGCATCAGGGTCTTTCGGTTTTGGACAGAAGCATAAATGAAAGTCCATTAACGTCTGGGGATTAAGCTCACCGAACTATCGTGAATGCACTGGAGTAAAGTTAGGAGGAACCCTCCTACGTGCTGAGACACGTGAGCTGCTGGGCTGCTGATAGGGGCCTAACTCATTACAGTTTTGGGGCGAAGCAGTTTGACAATATGAATCCAGAAGCCTTCTTTTTGACTTTAAACGAGTAACATTTTATTTTATTTTTTAGTAACAGGAGCGCATACTTATTTTATAATTTGTAATATCTTGTTTTAATATCATTATTTTTTCCATCATGATAGGTGCACTCTTTAGTTCGCATTCACCCATCCCCCCACCCACCTCCCCTCTGGTAACCATCAGTTTGCTCTCCATAGTTAAGAGTCTGTTTCTCGCTTTCTTTCTCTCTCTCTCCTTCTTTCCCTTTGCTCATTTGTTCTGTTTCTTAAATTCCACATCTGAGTGAGAGCATGGTATTTGAGAAGCTCCACTACAGGACACTCAGCTACTTCTCCTGTAGATAATGAACTCATTGAGGGCAGAAGCCGACTTGCCCATTGTCTGTATCCAGTTAATATTGATTAAATAAGTAAGCATTAATGAAAGAATAATATCATTTTTGCCATTCCTGGAGAAAAGATCCACAAGAGTCTTTTAGGGGTTAGGTTTTTGTTGTATCTTTTAACCCATTTCAAAGACTAGCACAGACATGAACTTCATTGGTGGGTCTGAATAAATATGAAATTAATCTTAACAACAAGTAAAACAGAATGGCGACCTCTTCCTAGTGATCTTACGCTTAAAAACATTTTTAAGTATGCCATAGTAAACTACAGCAATCTTTTATGTAATGAAAAAACCATCAAAGGAACTATACAAAAACACATGATATTTCAATGAAAATGTGGAATATAAACATAATTATATTTGTCTACAAAGAATATAAACATAAGGATAAGGACCAAACAGGGGAAATAATATGCCAAAAGATAAAATTTGAGATCTGTTGTGTTAAAATGTTTCCCCCTCATGCTGACAATTTAATATTCTTTACTGCTCTTACAAAATAATCTGAACCCCCACAATTAAAAAATCCAAAGCAGAATATTTTATCAAGAAGAATATGAATTGTCCAGAAAGCTTTATTTAAAAATCCTGACCTTAAAAAGTAATTAATCATTTTCTACTATCTCTGATACAAAAACGCTTTAATGTCTTTTTGCTTCATGTCTTTGATTTCCTGCAGTTCACCAGAATGTGTTTCCATCAGCCTTTCATTATACAGCGTCAATATGCAGCTGCAGTTCTTTGCTGTGTATTAACTGAAAGCTCGACCACATGACGGTCTCAGACATTTAATTCAATCGGATGGAGAAGCTTCTGGTCAACATAAGCAGACTGGGGGAAGAGAAGAAGAAAGAAGAATGTGAATCTAAACAATTCCCTCTTATTTCAGAAGGCTTGGATTTTCATAGAAGAGGCTTTGAGCAAAACTCAGCTGGGTCTTGCGGGTTTCTACAAGACTACCGTGGAGGTGAGAGTTCAGTTATAAAATAAACCCAGTTCTTTCTTTGGTGACGCTCCTCCCCATCACTAGCTGGGCCGTCCCTCAAACAGGGCGACCCAACGCACACTGCCGAAGAGAAAAACTCTCCTTCGTGTGCGCCTTGAGGAAGAAAAACAGTTGTACATGAGGCCTGAGAAATACATACAAGCTATTCAAGTTGTGAGGATAGGAAGCTGCTTGAATTACCCACCCACTTAAGTCAACACATGCTGTTTTCTTACCCAAAGGAACAAATTCAAGTATACCCAGCGGGGCTCAGGTGACAACAGATAATACTTAAATGCAGATCCTTTACCTTCAAGGTTCAGAAACAATCGACATAGTTTTACTCTTGCTTTGCTTTTTTCTCTCTTTTAATGTTTATTTAGTTTTGAGTGAGAGAGAGAGAGAGAGAGAGCACATGAGCAGGTGGGGGAGGGGCAGAGAGAGACGGGGATACAGAGATACAGAATCCGAAGCAAGTTCCAGACTCTGAGCTGTCAGCACAGAGCCCGACGCGGGGCTCGAACCCACGAGCCGCGAGATCATGACCTGAGCCGAAGTTGGACGCTTGACCCGCTGAGCCCCCCAGGCGCCCCAACTCTTGCTTTTCAACTGAAGAGTTTCGCAAGCCTAGTCAACCCCCGATAATAACAAGAAAGAATTGCTCTTCCCAAGTACCTACCGCGTGCCGGACACCGTGGCCTGCGGCTCGGCCACCCCCACCGCTAGGACTGGGGACAAGAGGCAGGCCAGGCCGCCCGCTGCTGGGACCCGGGCCAGCAAAGGGCACTAACACATGGCCAGAAACGCAGCTGTTCGCTGAACCTGCACTTGGTTCTTGCTGAGCGTCAAGCCAGAGACGCGGCGAAGCCAAAGCACAGAAGGAAGGCCGCACTTGCCACAAGCAGAGGAAAACACCAGGCGTCTTTCCCCAAGCAGCGTCTCCTCCGGCAACGAAACCGGGGAAGTTCCGGGCTCGGGGTGTGGACGCATTCATGGAGGGGGGTGAGCGGCGGGGACTCAACGTGCAAGTGGGGCAAAAGTCATCTCAAGGTGACTGAATAGAGGTCAAGGTCAGGAGGGTCAGCAAGGGTCGATGGCAACAAGTCTCTGGCTCCAGCTGGTCCATTATCTGAGCTCGAAGGGGTTTAGGTCTCGCAGAGATAAGCCGAGGGTGTCCATCAGGGCAATCTTCACTCGTGAATCAGCACCCGGGGTTTTACCCCTGATTTCTTGTCCCTGACGCGATTAGATTTTCTCCGGCCTGATAGTGGCTGTTCTATCTGTTCTTACATTCTCACACAGGCTTCCCCGGGTTGGGGGGGCGGGGGGCGCCTAAACTGTCTATTTCTTACGTCACCAACAAGCTGTGTCTTTTGGGGGGGCAGGGGGAACCCCTAATTCTCTGCTTACATGACCCCACAGAGAAAACCGGCCTTTGCGGAGGCCTCTCAGCAAGAGCAGCGTGCGTGGCGGGAAGGTGCGGGGAGAAGAGGGGCTCCCCCAAGGGCAGGCCCAAACCGCAATCTGGGACGGCCCCCAGCTCGCCTCCTCTGGAGGGCGGCGCAGGCGACCGCCTGTCTGCCGAGTGGGGCGTGGAAATTAGAGGCCTGAGCACCTTCCGGGAGAGGCTGAGTCCTTCCTCCTGCCTCCTTTTTACCCACCACCCCTTCTCCGTTAAGTGTTGTTTGAAGAAGGCCGTTAAAGGGGTGCCGGAGGACGAAGCCCCCCAGCCACCAGCTCTATTTCTGCACCAGCCCCATTTCCGGGGCCCCCACTTCCGGCTGGCAGGTGGGAGGCCGGGCCTCCTCCCTCTCGTCGACTACAACGGCGCCGGAGGTCAAGGTCAGGACGCGAGCCCCGGTCCGCCCAGCGCCCAGGGCCGCGACTCCCTACCCCCACCCCCTGGCGCGCATGCGCCCAGCACCCCGGTGACCCTTGGCCCCTCAGGGCCAGGGCTCCGCTGTTGGTTCAACCCCCGGTGGCGGTGACGCTGTGACTGGGTTCTGAAAGGCTCCTGCGACGTACGTGTCGGGGGCTTCGCACAGCCTCCCGCTGGTGAGGCGCCCGGAGAGTCACGTCACACGGTCCCCGTGAAGTGGACAGTGCGGCTGAGAAACGCGGTTCCGGGATCGGCTCGCCTCGGGTCAGGACAGACACAAAGCGGCGGCGGTGAGGGATGGGGGGGCGGGGGAGAGGTGGGGGAGGTGAGGGAGGGGTGGGGGGGGGGGGGGAGGGGCGGGGGAGGTGAGGGAGGGGCGGGGGAGGGGTGGGGTGGGGGTGGGGGGGCAGCACCCACTAGGCCCCTCCCCTTGTTCCCCTCGGAAGACCCGGGCCGGCTCTGCGCCAGGCCCCCAGCCGCCTCGCGCCCACGCCACAGGCTCTTTCTCCTCCTCGTCCTTCCGGTGTGAGGAAACGCTATCCTGATGCGATCGGGGCCCCTCACACCCCTGCGAGGTCGGCAGGCGCGCCCGGAAGCGAGGCGGCGCCGCGTGACAGCTGCCCTCTGATGCCCGCGTTTCCTCAGGAGAGAAGTCCTGACCGAGCTCCGCGAAGCGAGGCGGGCCGTGCGGGCCGTCAGCCGCGGGACGAGCCGCAGGACTCGGGCGTGGGAAACGGTGTCGTAAAATGCCCCAAATCGCTCCTTCTCCAACGAATGTGGAATGGTTTCCCCAGAGACGTTAGTAACGCAAGTCATCAGGTGTGAGCTAATGTTCTGCCTCTTCAAGACATGTGCCCGTATCTCGAATGTACCAGTTTTATTACGTTTAAACTTTCTTGTTGTGATTAAAAATAGACATAACGAAGTTTGCCATTTTAACCATTTTTAAATGTGCAGGTCAGTGGCATTAAGAACATCCACATAGATGTGCGACCGTCCCCACCGTCCATTCTGAGAACTTTTTCCCCTTTCCAAACCCAAACTCTGCACCCGTTCATCGACAGTCCCCTGTTCTCCCCTCCCCCACCCCTGGCAACCGCCGTTCTACTTCCTGTCCCCGCGGGTTTGCCTGCTCTAGGGACTTCGGTCAGCGGGATCACACAAGATTTGCGTCTCTGTGTCCGGTTTCACCGTAATGTTTTCATCCATGTTATAGCGGATGTCAGCATTTTTTTTTTCCTTTTAAGGTTGAATAATGTCGACTAGGTTTCGCTTATCCATTCATCTGTTGATAGACCATTGGAGAGTTTCCACCTTTGGGCAGTTGTGAGTCAATTTAAAGTGTTTAAGCGATACGTTTAAATAATTCAAGAAGAGAGCAGTACTAAAAGCCGTGCGACAAAAACTAGCAGTCTCCTGTTTGCCCTGTGGCTCCCCAAGGGCAAGAACTTTCATGTCGTTTAGCTCCATTTTCTGCTCGTTTCGGCCATGTTTCTAAAAGTACTTGTAGGGTATTCTTTTGTTTTTAACTTTTTACTGTAACCTGCTGGCCAGCACCTCTCCATCAAAGAAAAGCTGGCTCTCCTAGGGCACACACCCTGCTTACAACTAGAAAGATATCTCCCCTCTACCATTATGCCAATGCAACTACTTCACACATTTTGATAAAATACATTTCAGGGTTTGTAGTACTGTATGCGACAGTCGGGGTCCAGCCAGGAGGCAGAACCCATACCAGTAATATGAACAGAGAAAACTTAACAGGAAGATTTATTAACTAGCATTTAGGGAGATACCTGAGAGAGAGAGAGAACTCTAAGTAATACAGAAATATCAGGTGTACAGAAAATATTTCCAGGCCAGAAGGGGAGTGCCCAGAGAAGGGCCACCTCAGAAAAGCCCTCTCCTCAAGGTGACAGGGTGTGGTTGTGGCAGAGAAGTGTGAGGAGGTGCTGAGGCTGGACTAATACCCAGGTGCCCACCACTGAGGTGCCAGTGAATCTCACTGGGAAGCCGCCTACTGAGAATCTGTTGGCAGCCTTACCATGAAAACGAGGAAATCAAATTCTGAAACTCAAGAGAAGCCCTTCCTCTGCAGTGTCCACCAGTGCCTCCTACTGACAAGGTTTGACATTGTGACATCAGCAAAGGAAATTGTAGAGTCCAGCTCCAACATCAGAAAGCGGGGCAAGGAGGGATGGATGTAGAACTGAGATATGATAGTTTGGCTAGTTACAGAATTCTAAACTCTCTTTCAGAATGTTAAAGGCATTGCACCATTATTTTCTAACTTCACTGCTGTCAAAAAATCCTGATGACGGGGGACCTGGGCGGCTTAGTCGGTTGAGCATCTGACTTCGGCTCAAGTCATGATCTCACAGTTCGTGGGTTTGAGCCCCATGTCGGGCTCTGTGCTGACAGCTCAGAGCCTGGAACCTGCTTCAGATTCTTTGTCTCCCCCTCTCTCTGCCCCTCCCCCACTTTTGCGCTGTCTCTGACTCTCAAAAATGAATAAACATTTAAAAAAAATTTTTTAAGGGGTGCCTGGGTGGCTTAGTTGGTTGAGCGTCCGACTTTCACTTAGGTCATGATCTCGCGGTTCATGGGTTCGAGCCCCGCGTCGGGCTCTGTGCTGACTGCCAGCTCAGAGCCTGGAGCCTGTTTCAGTCTGTGTCTCCCTCTCTCTCTGACCCTCCCCTGCTCAAGCTGTCTCTCTCTCTCTCTCCTAGAAATAAATAAAACATTAAAAAAAAATTTTTTTTAAATTCTGATCACATTCTAATTCCTGATTTTTTGTATATGATCTGTTTTTTGGATTTTTTTTTCTTCCTCTGTGGAAGCCTTTGAGATCTTCTCCATATTTTTGAAATTTAACAATAATGTGTCTTGGTCTGAGTTATTTGCTCCCTGGGCATTCTGTGCCCTTTCAATAGGGACAGTCCTGTTCCCTAGTTCTGGGAACTTTCCCCATACTATCTCGCTGCCATTTTCCACACCTGCACTTTCTCTGTTCTCTTTCTGGAACATCTAGTTGTTGATGTTGGACCTCCTGGTTTGAACCTCTGGGAAGCTGCCCACTGAGAATGTGTTGACAGTCTTACACTGAGCACTGAAAACAAGAAAACCAAAGCCTGAAATCCAAGAGAAGCCCCTTTCTCTTGTGGTGTCCTCCAGCGCCCTCTGCTGACGAGGCTTGACATTGTGACCTGGGCAAAGTGTTTATGGGGTTCAGCTCCAATAGCATGTAGAGCTGAGAGGCAATACATTTTTCTTTCTCACACTTTCCCTTTTTTCATCCTTCTTCTTGGCTTTATTTTTCTCAACCTTGTTATCCAGTTTTTCTACTGAATATTTTATTTCTGCTATTGTATTTTTTAATTTTTTAATCTCGTTTAATATTCCTTTTTCAGCCTGAATGCTTCCTGTATGTGCTTAGCTTTCTTCGAGTATTCTGATTTTTTTTTAAGTTTTGTCTTTTTTTTTTTTTTGCTACTTATACTGTGGCTTTTTCTTCCACCTTTTTTATTTTATTTTGATCTCCATCTTTCGTTGAAGCTTTCCTCAAATGTTTACTTAGTCATTCTTAAAAATGCAAAAACACCGGAGAGGAAGCTCTGTGGGTGTGGGTATGTTTCCTGACTGTTGGAGTTCAGTATATGTTCACTGCAGGTTGTGATGTAAGCGACTGTAGGTATCTGTCTTTTGTCTTGGGCTGGTTGTTTCCCAAGAGGAGCCCTCAGATCTTCTGCCACACAGGCTAGAAGCCTGGTCTCAAGCATCCTGGGCACCATAGGTCCGGACTCTCACTTCCACGCCTGTTTCCAGAAAAGCTTTTCACTCCTGCCTCAGTTATGCCTGGTTTCTGAGACCAGGCCTCTCAGTGTCCCCCTCCACCAAGCGTCCCGTTTTCTGTAGGCACAGGGAAAGGCTGCATAGATCGAGGATTTTGCAAAGTGCTAAATGGCTTCTTCTGTAGACTTTTAGTTATTCTTAAAGTAATTTCTATGCCCAACATGGGGCTCAAACTCATGACCCCCAGATCAAGCGTTGCATGTTCTTCTGACTGGGCCAACAGATGCCCCTCTTTTGTCGACTTTCGAACAATCTCCTGTATCCTAGTTTCAGAGTGTCTGGTGATTCCAGTCTCCTGAGACTTTTGGAATCTCTAGCATTTTGTTAGCTTATCTTCATGCAGACATACATGCTTCACTTTCTAGACACTGCAGTGCAGTGAATAAGCCATGACTGCTTCCTGGAACCCTAGTTCCATCACCAGCTGGTGAGCTTGGGCAAGTTATTTAGCCTCTTTGTACCTCAGTTTCTCATCTGTAAAGTGGGGATAATATACAATAATACATATATACATTAATATATAATATATAATAATATTATAGCTTATAGCAGGGGTTAACACACTACAATCCA